TACTATGGGGCCTATGGGTAGTCCTCCCTTGAAAGGGGTCTTGGGCTATTTGGACGTGGCTCGAAACGAAATGCCCCAGGCATTGAACAAGGGCGCGGCCGAGTTCTGGAACGAGGCTGAGGCCAAAGAGAACTTGAGAAGGACTGGCTATGGATTAGATTATGGGATTGTCCGTTCGAGGTCGGGAAAGTCTGAACAGTTTCACGCGCTTCCTACATAGTTGGCATGTAGAACCAGGAGGATTTGCCGCTAGCCCTTTAATAGGCCCTTAACCCCCAAGAAATCCTAAAGCCAAAAAGCCCTATAAACCCTAAAGGCCAAACTGACCAATATGGATCCAGAATCTCGGCTTTTGCCGTGGCTTTGACTCTTGATGTATTCGAAGCTTCTCTCTATCCGAAATTTTCTGCAGGGACAGCCTTCAACCCTGAAGCTCACCTACACCCCCACTGTAACAAAGGCGATTCTATCTGAGCAGCACTGTAAGCTGACGATGTTGGTCAAAACTAGCGAGAACTAGCCCTGAATTCTCTCATAAAGATAGCCCTAAACCTTGGAGACTGAACCCAACATGAGGATGGCCCTGGATATCATCGTAACACCCCCCCCCCTNNAAAAAAAAAAAAAAAAAGAAAAACAAGTGTTCTAGCCGAGGCATCTGCACCAAACCGTGTATAGCGGCAGTGCGCCAGACGCCGCAGAGAACCTGCTTCTCCGGTCTACAAAACCATCAAAAGAACCCTAAGGCAACCTGCAAGGAAACCCTTAAAGAGTCACGATAGCCTCAACCCTTCTACAAGACTTTCAGGCTCCAAACTAAAAAAACCCTAAACCGCCTGTCAAAGCCGTGCGCCCAGGAGTGCACAGATGCTTGAGCTCCCCGTGCCCTTTGCGGTGTACGAGGACCTTACCATGGGTGGTGGGTTGGGCTACGCGAACTCCGAAGATGTTTTTGGAGTTTTGTTTGGTGGCCACGCCATGGCTTGGTTCAGGGTTGAGGGTTTAGGGAAATTTAATCGGTTTAGGGTTTAGGGTTACTATTTCAACATGTCAATGCGGTGTTCAGGTTCCAAAGATTCGAAGTTCAGGGGTTTAGGGCTTATGTATGTTGAGCGCTCAGCTTGAAATGTTTTGCGTTTAGGATTTGGGGCTTGGAGTTTGGGGTGCGAACCGGCTGCTTTTTCTAAACTGCTGGGTCGTCGGAGGTGCCTGAACCCGAACTGTTTTGTTTCAAGCATTGAACCACAAACCACAATAAAGCATCACATTAAGCAGCACTATGCTGTGTTTGTTTCGGTTTAGGGTTAGGGTTTAGGNNAGGGTTTAGGGTTTAGGGTGTGTATCCGTTTTTGTCCGGGCCCCACGGTTGGGGTTTCACTCTGCACGAACCCTGCATGTCGACGGTACGGTAGGGTACAGAAGCTTCAGTGCTTCGATTGTCTCCGAGGTTGACGCTGGCTGGAATCCCGGCAGTGCCTATAATAACCCTAAAATAGGGGCCTTAATAGTTAGAATAGGGTTTGGGGGGGTATCCTATATTGTAATTCTAATAAGGAACCCCCCAATTAAGGCTCCTACAGTAAGCCCTAAACCCTAAACCCTAAACCCCTAAACCCGAAACCCTAAACCCTAAACCCTAAACCCTTTTAAAAAGCTATGTGTAGCAGACCCCAAGGATCTCTCCACGAAGCCTTGACTCCTTAGATTTTGGGAGTTCAGTGACTTCAGCTTTTAGAGGTTTTCTCCGGTATTGAGGGCCTTTTGGGGTTTAGGATTTAGGGTTTAGGGTTTAGGGTTTGAGGTTCCGGGTTGAAGGTTTGCGGCTGACAGTTGAGGGTTCACAGGCTGGTTTGCAGGCAGCTTACATCCTTTCCCTTCCTTTCCCAGGATATGATCGGAGCAGTGTTGGGTACCGCCAGGGCGCTGCAGCTCGTGATGCTGCCACGTTTCTTTCGACTGAACTACAGGCTTCGGATTTCAAGTGCCGAAGCCCCCAAACCCTGTTAGGGTTTAGGAGTTTACGGTTTGGGGTAACCCGGTAAAACACCGAATGGGTACAATGTAGGGGGCCGAATCATTCGAACGAGGTTTGGCCAGCTTGTCGGGTAAGGTGTCACCGGACTTAGGCGGCAAATGGATTCAGAGGCTCCTTTGTAGAGCTCGTGCAACAAGATGCTCGGCAAAGCATGCCTCCTGGATAGCCGACTTGTGCAGGGAGTATATAAGGGCATCTTATTTATTCCGTCTCTTACTTAACTTGTCTAAACGAGGGTCCGGCTCTACACACCCGAAAGAGTATGTCACTCTGTCTGAAAAGGTCGCGGGTTCAAAAATGGCAAAGTCCCAAACTGAAGAGATTGAGGGATTAGGGTTTAATGTCCTAAAGGGCGTTTCGGCCATGCTAAGATCAACCCCGAGCTTACAGTGGCCGATGCTTCGACCAGAAGGTGCGCCTGTAATCCATAGAGAATCCTGAGCCCTCGACCACATGGCTGATCCGCCCCTTCGTATAACCCTAAGGCTCTAAGGACTCATATCTTAAGGCTTTTGGGCCCAAAGACCACACTATAAAAGGCTTTTGGCCGATTTTGAGCCTCAGGGTAAGACACAAAGGCCATCGCTGCGGTTATCGTCGGTTTCGCGTTTCGTGCCGCTCGTGCCTGGGGAGGGGTTCTGAGTACCTTGAGTGGGGCTTATATATAGTGCTCTAAACCCTATCCCCCAAGCCCCCAGCGTCAGCCTAAAATGGGGGGGATCGCACTTGTCGTGTATGTTGTGCAAGAGCTATGTAGCGCCAATTGAAGGAGCTGCTATAATCAACTATTCCTCTATTTGGGCACCTCTACTCAACAAGCAGAAAGAAATTATAGAAGCACACATACACACACACCCTCATCCATACGCTCGCCTCGTCACGGCTCTTTCTGGAGCATTCAGGGTTCTTAACTCGTCATAGGTTATATAGGGGCCTAAATAATTACCGATACTATTTCGGGGGCGCCTTAGTATAATTACAGTATAACATGCCCCGAAACCCTGTTCTAATTATTAAGGCCCCTACATTAAACTTGCACATCCCTCAATTTTACAAGAACTGCTTTGCGGTCTTCATATTGCGGAATGCGGAGGGGCCCTACTTAGTGAACTTACGTGGTACCCCTAAACCCCAAACCCTAAAGAACCCTAAGCCTTAAACCACAAAGGATCCTAAACACCCTAAGCCCTCCAGGATCAGCCCTTAAAAAAAGACCCTAAACCCTAAACCCTAAACCCTAAACCCTAAACCCTACCCCAAGGATCAGCCCTTAAAAAAAGGCCCGAAGCCCCAAACTCCTCGAAGAAGACAGGGGTCGCCGTCGCAAGCAGCGGGGGCCCTCCTCTTGGGCTGCCCTGGATCTGGCAGGAAGACCTGCCTGGGACTTAGGGTTTTAGGGGTTTAAGGTTTAGGGTTTAGGGTTTAGGGGTTTAGGGTTTAGGGTTTAAGTTTATTGGGCTTAGGGTTGACCCATCTCTGATAGAGGGTTTAGGGTTTAGGGTTGACCCATCTCTGATATCAAGGGGCTGAAGGAGGGACCCTTAAAGGGAATGTTGGGGTTTTGTAGGGGCTTTATGCGACTATATAAGGGGGATATAGGGGTTATGTATGGTATTAGGATTAGGGGTCACTTCTAGGGGTCCCCCCTGTTGTCCCTTAATGACCTCGTAGCACAGTAGTACCGTAAGCCTTATGAAGCCGCTTGAAGGAACAGAACTACGTGGTCCATTAAACGGTGCTGCGAGGTTTCTAGAAGGGTTCGTGTGCTACATGGATTTCGGGTAATGAATCCATGTTTTGGGGATTTGGGGGTAATGTAGGGTTGAGGGCTTAGGGTTTAGGGTTTAGGGGTTTAGGGGTTTAGGGTTTAGGAGTTTAGGGTTGAGTGTGTTTCTGGTGGGCATGTGGGAGCTTCTCTCGCTTTGAGTTTAGGGTGGAGGCTTGGGGATTTAGCAATGACAGGAGCTTTGCGTTTAGAGTTGGGGCTTGGCTAGTGTTCTGAGTATATAGAACCTAGGACATTTTCTATTTTCTGGTGGCTAGTTACCGTTATAGGAGCCTTATAGAAGGTCTATATACCTTATAGAAGCCCCTTATACCCTAAACTCCCCACCTGTAGTTTCCTTGAACCCTAAACCCTAAACCCTAAACCCTAAACCCTAAATCCTAAACCCTTCAGGCTTCAGCTTCGGGACGTAAAGTTTAGCCTTCGGCACTTGGGGTTCAAGATCTCGAGCTGAAGGAAGTCCTAGGTTTCTGTAGAGTTGAGGATTGTGTCTGGACAGTGTGACGGCTGTTGGTCTAGGCATCTTTAAGAATCGTTCCGCTGCCGTCTTTCCACTGAGCATGGGTGCAGGGCTTGGTTTGGGGAGTCAGCGTTCAGAGCTCTTGCGCGGCTGCTGTGCCGTATGCTGAGCGCAGCTATGATGCGGTCAAGCTCGTTGATGTTCTTACCGACGTTCAACACACGACTCTGTTTCGAAGCTTGGTTGCGAAGGAGCTGAGTGTGGTATCCTAGCATTGTGACCGAACTCGCGAAGCTAGAACGGCGCTATTCAAGACGGCCATCATTGTGGTTGTGACCGAGATCTCTTGGGATAATTGTAGCTGGGGGACTGATGAGGATCGGCTCTGGCACCAGAAGTGGGTGATCACTGGCACCTAGGGTTTAGGGTTTGGGGTTTAGGGCTTCGCATCCGCATATCTCAGGGCATTCAGTATACAGGCTTGTGGTTTGAGGGGGAGTTCTGGCTCCAACTTTCGATAGGTTGTTCTAGAGAAGCCGCTGAAGCTTCATACCCGTAAGCCCCAAGTCCCGATCACCCGATCACGCGGTGCCCTGCCCTAATATAGGGGCCTAGACAATTACCTATAGTATTGTTTGGTGGGGTTCCTTCTTATAATTAAAGTATACTGGGCCCCAAAACCCNNCTAATTATTAAGGCCCCGACAGTACACAATCCTACAAATAGCCATGTCTTCAGGCTCTTGTCACGAATGTCACGGCAACCCAGGCCTGAGACTCTAAGCGACTCCGAGCCCCAAGCCCTGTACTGTAGCTCCTACACCCAAAATCTGTTTCTTAAGTTCTGAACCATGGCTCATAGCGACAAGCTTTAGAAGCCTCTGGTATTGTATTATACGAAAGAAGACAACCTTTTGAAGGGTTAGGGCTGATGAGTCATGGACCCTGCTACCACCTGATGCTTTTGAAGTAGGACCCCAAGAAGCCTGAACCCCTTACACAGTTCAAAACAACGTTTATGGGATGCACTCAAATTCACTCAAATTTCCAAGCCCTAAACCCGCATGTATGTATGTATGTATGTATGTATGTATGCATGCATGTATGTATGTATGTATGTATGTATATATGTATGTATGTATGCGTGTATGTATGT